CAAGTTCCCATTTTTCTTGACACCATCATGACCTGATGTTTGGGGAGCTCCTTTCGAATCAGAAGCAGCACCCTGGGAGTTTTCAGTGTGAGGCAGCAAATTCTTTGTTTCAGGTTTTGATACTTGGGAGTCTGTTCCAGGAACAAAAGTACCATGCTAGTTTTAAGGCCTAAATGATGAGCTTGGGGTCATAAAGAACTTTTTTCCCCTGAAGCCAAACCAAGCTAATTCATCTAATTCAGAATTCCACATGGACAACCAGCTTGCTGGTGGAAGCCCAACTAGAGAGCATGAATGCAAGTAATAGCCATCATAATTAGTAACTACTGGTATCTTTATGCTCCATGAATTTCTTTAATCTTTTAAAGCGATCCAAACTAGTGGCTATCACTACTTCTGATACCAAATTTAACTATGTGCCCTGAGAATCTGTACTTCTTTTTATCCGTAGTGGATGGGTTAGATCAGCTTCCCTAAGAGGAAATGTTAGAACAGCATGGATTGTTTAGTTTTGTAAAAAGGTAAATAAGGATGGACATGACAGAGGTATGAAAAAAATTATTATGCACAGTATGGAGGTACTGGATGAGACTTTTTTCCCCCTCTCATAATACTAAAACCTGGTGTCATCCCACGAAGCTGATCGGTGCAAGATTCAGGACAAATTAAAGTTCTGGTGCTACACTGCACAAAGTTAAACTAGGGAATTCACTTTCAAAAGTTAAAATGATGGCTACCAATTCAGACAGCTTTAAAAGGGAATTGGACAAGTTCATGGATTATCAATGACTACTAGACCCAATGGCTATTTGCTACTTCTAGTACACAGCAATATGACTATTCTTGGTCAAAGCTCACTAGTACTTGGTTTCAAACTCCATGAAATAGCAGGTTCAAGTTACAGGAAGCCAGGTTCCGGCTGAGCATCAGGAAGAACTTCCTGAGCAGTACAATGAAACCAGTTATCTGAGGAGGTTGTGGGCTCCCTAGATAATTGAGGTATTCAAGATGCAACTGGAGAGACATCTGAGTGGGATGGTTTAACTTGGTTCCATCCCTCTGCTCGGTGCAGGATTCCCATGGCCCTCTGACCCATTCCAGCTTTACTATTCTATGATTTCTTCTGCCTAAACATACATAAGATTGCACCCTATGGTCTTGTGTGTGCTCCCTCAAAAAAAGAAGTGCAACACTAACATTAACACAAGTACAGAGTTATTGTCCCCTGATACTATTTCACCAGAGCCCTGTTTAGATGCTATACAAAACAGCCAGTGTGGTGTAGCAGTTGAAGGTATATGTCTGGGACTCAAGAGATCTGGGCAGCTTGGAGTCACAGTCACAGACTCTCAGTCCAACCTACTTCACAGTATTGTTGTGAGAATAACATTGGGGGGAAGAGAATTACATAAGCTGCTGTCAGTTTCTTGAAAGGAAAAAGGAAGAGAAATACCCCCAGCATTGTTTTTCCTCACTCTGTTCATGTTGATAAGTTTCTGTAGCAGGGATATGTTGCATCTGTAGAAAAATAGGTTTCTAAATCACATGAGGACTCTCTAGACAACTACTCTCATCATATAAAGAGCGATGAGACTAGCACCACAAACGGACCCAGTGCACTCCCACTCCTCATGTGTTAATTAAAGCCGCAAGCAGAGCATTCGAATAAACTTAACAGGTTCCTCATGAGAGAATCTTTCCATAGTCTTCCCAAATGAGAAATATACTCGAACACCAGAAACAAAACTACTTCCCTCTGCCAATCAGGGACTTGCAGTTGGATTTAAACTGGAATCTGAGATTAAGGAACAGCGAGCTTTGACCAAGAACCTAATGCTAATCCAGGGCTCAGCTAAGCCAAACCCTTGAATATGCGACATAAAATAACTAAGAAACGCTTCTACGCGCGCAGAATGGCCTTCCTTTCAACAGCCTAACACAACCGGCCCACCACACTCCCGCCGCAAAAATCCTTGCGAATGGATGAGCATGGCCGAAAAGGGTCCATACTGACCTTGACTACCAACGGGAATGGCATGCCCAGTTCCAACTGGCGCCGGAACCCCCAAAGCGACTAGCTCGAACAGAAAGAGGACCAGCCACCACGGCCCCGCCATGCCGACTCGAAGCTCCTTCCGCTTCCTCCGAATTCCCCGACGGAAAAGGAAAGTCCTCTGTGACGCCATCCGAACAAGTTATTTCCGGTCGCAGTTCGGCCCTCTGTTGATCTCGCGAGACTAGGATTGTACGCGCTGAGAGGAAGGCGGGAGAAGAATGAGGACGTATTGGGAGGCGTGGCTTACATCAGCCCGGGAGGGGCAAAAAGAGGGAGGAGCGGAGAATTGTAGAGCTAGGAAAAAATAGAGGGATACGAAATCAGAACTTATGGTTAAAGTAACGGAAAAAGCTGATCTTGTTCTTGTGTTTATGGAAACACGCATGACGGTCTTCTAATTTTGGGATCTCTGTGATGTAAAACTCGCTGTCTGTGCATAAAAACCTTGCAGGAGAAAAATACTAGTTCGGACACAAATGCTCGTGACTGCGAACTGTGTGACTCTACAAATTATCTATGAGTCGAAGCATATTTTTTCCTGCAAGGAAACCAAAATCATTCCATTTTGTCCTTACAAGAGTCCAAAATAACCCAATGGGCTTCATGGCCAAATGGGGACTAGAACCCCGGCCTAACCACGATGCCACACTGGCTTCCAAGCTGCAGTTTATGTCGCTCATGAGTTTAGTGTCAGCTGTTTTCCATGATCCACTTGAAATCACTATTCTGCCTCTCTAAATGTCTCATTTGTATTTTTTGAATGATTCTAGCAAATCATTGTCCCTGCTATTGCTTTTGCAGAATATCTTGCTGATATCTCATGACACCCTACACACTAACAGATGTATGGCTACAGGCCGCTTCGTCAGATAGACTCCTTCTTCTAATACCAAACCGGTGTGGGAAGTGCCAACAGCTACATAAATGGCATCTACAGAATTTTTTTCCAGCCAGTGGAGGGAAAAGCTGCACAACATTCTACCATTGGTATCATAGTAATGTTAACTGAGTTTAATGGAATCCCCCATCTCCAGGTTGAATTGACTGACTTCCCGTGGCTTGGACCCACCTGGTGTTGCAGCCAGTCAGAGTAGAAATAAATGACTCAGACATGGACTGAAGGAAGCTCAGGCCTGATTGCTGGGGAAGCCTGAAACTGACAAGACTGGCATTTCGATCTTGCTAAAGAAGCAACTTCATTGCCAGTCTGGTTTTCTCATTCTCACTACATTTGCATATCTACATGTTTGCCTACTGTGAATCTTCGTTTTCCTTTCTAGTTAATGACACTTTCAAGGGTTATGTGACTGCAGCTTTACCAAAGCATCTTGTACAGCCAAATTCTTCCTGATCACTTGTGGGCTTCCTACATACATGTATCCGGTGTGCCGGAATACACTGTAATTTCTTTTGATTGTACACCTGCAGCGTGCCTGCTTTTTCTTGGCTTTGATGCAGGCATGGGACAATGCGCCATGGCCACGGTGTGGATGGGGCTACTTTTGTGCCTTACAGTGATGTGTCCTTGTGGCACTGCTTAAACTCAAAGGCATTCCCACTCTGTCCCATGTTTGACTTACCAACCTCCTTCCCTTTTCTAAGCCTTGCCCACGAGGCTAGAAAGTGAAAGCAGAACTAGGTGGGGCGCACCCGCCTAGAATCCAGTGGGGTCCCTTGTATCCTATAAGCAGATGCCCCTCATTACATAGGAGGTAGTAACTGTGAGCTAGGTAACTACCGTGTTTCTCCAAAAACAAGACCAGGTCTTATTTTAATTTTTGCTCCAAAAGATGCATTAGGGCTTATTTTCAGGTGATGTCCTATTTTTCCTACGAAAGCCCTAAGATTCTTGCCCTGAGAGTCCTCCACAATTCCTTTCTTGTACTCAACAGAATAGCTCATTCTTTTTGCACTCATCTGATTGGGGGGTCAAAGTATTATTCCCTTTAAAATCTATCATTAAATCAAGTGCTAATTGAAGATTTACAAGACAGGAGTCGCAACACATGAGTACATTAAGTACGTCCGTTACAACACAAGACGTATTGACATTATTTGTGCGTTGTGTCTGTACTCCGATTGGTCATTCAGCAATAAGTCTCGTGTTTATCTGTTTACATAGGTATTTACCTCTTGTTCAAAGGTGCCTGCTTGGGTATTTACACATACTTAATTATAATTTATATTACCCTTTAAGTATTAATGTCAATAATATTATTTATTTATATTTAAATATTTATTAACATTATTTTATGATTCCATATGTGTGTCTTGTGTTGCAACGGATGTACTAAATGCATCCATCTGGCTGACAATATTAACTAGGGCTTATTTTGGGGGTAGGGCTTGTATTACAAGTATCCTGAAAGATCATGCTAGGGCTTATTTTCTTTTAGGTTTTCTTTTCAGGGAAATGCATTATTAGCAGGAAGACATCAGCCTGCATGGGAGGAACACCAAGGTTTGTGCAACATCTAAAAGGGATTCCGCAACATCACACACATTAACCATCGAAAGTTGAGACTCAGTTAAAAAAAAAGAAAGCTGGTGAAAGATGGAGGGAGAGCTTAGAATGAAGTATCCTAGAAAGAAGTCCTGTCCGGCTAGAACCCTGAATTATGGGTGTCACAGTTCAATGCATCTGGAGGATGCCAGATCAGTGAGCTCTTGCAATTTTAAAAGAAAGCATGGCAAACGGAAAAACACAATGTCTTGCAGAAATATTGCAGAAACACACACACTCCTTTGATTTTTCCACATATTGATGTGTTACAACCTGGAACTGAAACGGATTTCTCTGTAGACTAATCTTTTGCAATATGGAATAGACAACAGCCTTGGGAAGCGACCCTTGATATGACCATTGGGTTCTTACTAACATGCCCACACCTCTGTCTGCAAAAGGCTGCAGGTTAATACTACTGAAAGAATGAGCTCTCCTAAGTTGCTCTTTCAAGAATTTCCTTCCACCCAATTTTTAAAATATTATCTTTCGTTCGAGATGTGTGTAACTATTTGTGGAAGAGTAATTTCCATGCCATTGAAAAGGCAGAATGTCAGTCAAAGAAACAGACACTCTGAACTGTTGAATACTTGGGGAGCAGGCAGGGAAATGTTTAATAGAAAGTTTCCTCAGATTTTTAAATTATGGGACAATTACCTGTGTTAGGAACATAATCTAGAATTGCGTGAGAAATGCCCTGCTGGGTCATCCCAAAGGTCGGTCTGGTCTAACATCCAGCTCCGTGTTGCATTCATGTGCACTCAAGGCACAGAAATGTTTTCTGCTTGGTGAATCATTTAATGTACTTCCATAAGTTTGCCAATCATGATCCACACTGCCTTAGAAAATAACTGCTGAACAATGGAAATGCAGCACCCTCTTGTGGTCTACTTAGCATCTTTTGAATTCTTGGAAATCAGAAATTTATCATCTTTTATTTCATCATAAGCTGCTTATTGAAAATCATGAGTTTTTGGACCCTACTTCAAGAGGGTTGATGCAATGTTATTAAAAAAAAAACAAAATAGAATCTAGATATGTTGCAAATCTTGTCCTGAGGATGAAGACAACTCAGATTACATGGCCGTTAGAAGTGGGAAAGTAAAACAAATGTGAGCTCATATGGATTTAGCATTGCTCCCTCTTTGGTTACAGTTAAGCCTCACAATGGGCTTCAAAGACAGTGAATCGATATGTGGCAAAAAAGCTAGATGGAGAGTCATTAAGCACTGGCATCGTTTTAACTAATATGAAATCAGATAGGATTCACAGACATAGTTTGATAGAATACTTTAATGGGTTCCATTATTTTAATCATACTTGGGCTTTGCCCCATTTGTTTTCAATTTTTTAAAGAAACTGGCTGGTTCTCATTTGAAGACCCAGTTTGTAGAGGACAGGATGAGAATATTGCTCTTGATCAAAAGGGACAATTTGAGACATCTCCAGACAATAAATACAGACTAAATGAGTGTATAACATGGTGCATTCCAATTTCGATAATCAGTGATCATTATGGAAAGTAATACTTAAAACATCTGGGGGGCAGCAGGTTGCCAGCCCCTCAACTAAATCAGCCTGAGATCAAGGGAAGATTAAGGAACATCAGACCCTACTAATAGATCTTTGAATGATTTGTAGTAGATCTGCAAAAATACTGCCTCCCCATAGTTTAAAAACCACATGTTGGGGATCACATGAGCGGAGCCAGCTGGGGTCAGACTAGATGGCCCAGGGGACCACTTCTGACTCACGCCTTTTTCTTCTACCAGCTTGAAACCATGTTTTAATTCTGGTTGACTGGCCAATCTCATAAATTATTTGTGAGCCGCCCCGAGGCTTCGGCGAATGGGGTGGCATAGAAATTTTCTAAATAAATAAATAAATAAGGTTTGCATCCTTTACGGGCATTTCTGTGCTGACATGCAACCTTAAAGTGAGGACACTGCATATATCACTCAAGTGTTTGCAAAACTGCCTCTAACCCTGGGCTCTTCTTTAATCTTTAGAAATAAGCCATCAGATCTCTTCCCATACTTGGGAGAAACTATCATATGGACTTAAGCAGGAAGGAATTAGAGTATTTCCACATCTTATTTGAATCTTAGAAGAGTACTAGGATTTTACTCCTGACTTCAAGCATGGAACTGTGGTTTTGTGAAACAGCATTGCCCTTCTAACTCTCCTGAATTCCAGTGCTTTCAAGGCCTGTTTCAAGAATGTCAGGATTAGGATAACCAGAAGCTTTGTCAGATTTTTCTGCATAGAACAGTAATCTTGCTGGGAATATGCAAAGAGCACAGGCATGCTATGGGGTGGCCCTATCCTTGAAACCACGTTTGTAACGCCTTCTCCAGGAGTGCTTTCCAGCACAATAATATTGTGACTGTTGCATGCTCCTCTTGAAACAAGCCTTTCCATTAAAATCAGCAGGCTACGAGAGAGAGAGAGAGAGAGAGAGAGAGAGAGTGTGTGTGTGTGTGTGTGTGTGTGTGTGAAAGAGAGAGAGAGAGATTTTTTCATCCAGAATTAAAATGTAGAGCATTAGTTTTTTTAATTAAAGAAAAATTGCAGCTGTGCCCGAGGAATTCATCCAGAAAAGAGGAGGAGTTCCAAAGTATTCCCCCACCCTGCCGTGCAAT